CGCACAATCACTCATATGATAAGCTCCGCTCGACAAAGTCGACAGCGAAGCTAATAAAAAAACACGTTTATTTATTTACATAATATCGTTGTAGATAATTATGATAAAATCAAATACATTGTATATACGTATAATGACAATAATGTAGTAAGCGACGTGCGATTAATGAGAGTGCCAGTGACTTGCTATAAACTTTAAATGTGATAACAGCTTACTAAATTAACTTTTCTCGGAACAATAAATATTATCATATTAATAATTTAATTCTTTGGAAACACTGCTGTACTCTCCTAGAATGTTTGGGATGTATGAAAACTGATCGCACCATGACAGTAAATGTTTGTCAACATCGAGCGATAGATCGCCAATTTCGTTGTCACGTGTCTCGCATTCTGGCGACGGTACCAGATTCTGACAAACATCTGTTGACAGAGGGCGCTGACATATATTCGAAATGACGGACACGTCATTCTTTAACAAGATACTCATTGACTCCCGTGGTCGACTTGTTAATTTGTTGTTGAAACATTTATTCTGTTCGTTTGTGATCAAATTTGTCTTTGAGGTACGTGGGTGTAAGGCTTGTGATTTCAACAGTTTCAGCGTTTCAACAGTTGAAGCGCCCTCTTGTGACGATTGTTTGACATCGAGTAATAAACCGCGAAGTACACTGATGTTTTCGTCGGGTGGACTGTTTTGATTTCTTTTTTTCAGAATTGTAATTTCGGGTGAGTTATATTCTGTTGCTGAACAACCAGGCACAATTTGTTGTGGTTTAGATGTTATCTCCATGCCAACAAAACTTGCTCCGGCATTGTCGTTTGAAATCCCCTCGTTCACTATACTCGAATTACACTGCAAAGATTCAACATGATCACAATTTTCAGGAAGTTCGTATTTTCTTTTCTCCAGCTGTTGCTCAAGAATTTTTATATATCGTATCGCAAGTCGCAGTATGTCCTTTTTTTGAAGCGCGACCGCTCTCCCTCTTCGTTGCTTGTCGCAGAGGGCCTCCTTTAGCAACTCTTTAGGTAGAGGCAGTGTTCGCTTCAGGGTATCCATAGCTTTGTTAAATGTCTGAAGTCGAGCCCTTTCCTTGGCGGCAGCATCTGGGCGATGTCTGGTAGAATTCATTGGCATTTCTTGCTTGTTTACGGGGACAACAGTTAAAGGCAAGCGGTAATTGGCATGTCTTGACGAGAGCCGTCTCACAGTCGCACGTTGAGGACAACCTCTGCTCACGGTTTCTTTCTGTCTGGATGACATAGCGACGATTGGTACGGATATCAGATGTCGAAAATTGTATGCACGATATATATTAATCTAAGATACACTGGTTCACTTTAATTGGCCTCGAGTGGATATGTGACATAAATTGATGATAGTCTGTGAATTAGAAAATAATATCCAGGTTACTATAGACATCATACACAAAAAGAAGGTCTATGATTGTCATGACATGATGTGTGATCAAAAGATATGTCTTTCCTGCCATGGTCCTGCTACAATGTTTGAAACATTGGTTGTGTGTGCGTGTTTGGTGCCGATATATACTGAATGTGTACAAACAATCGGGGTTTTGCCAGAGTCTGGAGCCAGGAATTTCGACACACAATCAATGGGCGCACTACATATATAGCCCCGTACTATAAGCATATTTTAGATTTCAAAAAATGATTATAATTCATAATTTCTTATGTACTGCCAATGACAAACCAAACCTAATGTACCACATTGACTGGTTGTTACAACAATGCTTTTGTTGGTACGCCAACCGTGTATAATATAGTATACTAGTATTTATTGACACAATACTGACTTTAAAAAAGTGCAGCAGTAAGGTCACTAAAACTATAGAACAGAGAAAAAAAATATTAGTAATATAGGTCACGGCACAGAGGAGGATTTCTCGCTAAAACCATGGAACTTTATAGTTCCATGCTAAAACGAAGCATGGTACCTCCATGAACGAAGTAACCCATGCATGGTCGAAATACATCAAATGTCATTTTTGTTTGAGTAACGATTTATCCCACCGTAACCAAAAAACACAACAATAATCATAAGCAACTAAAATCTTACGGAAACAAACCAAGGCGACAATTTTATGTGGTATATTTGCTGGTGCACGACACTCATTACTTTGCGCACGTGGCTTCACATGGTCACAATCCCTCCACTGTGACATGGTGTACCCACCGTACTTTCCCGACACATTAGATGTACTGTGGGCGCGGGTAATTCACATGCTCTGAACATGAAACTCCATGGTCGGAATACATCAAAGATATTTTGTTTGATTACCGATTTATCTCCCTGTCTTAGAATCTCATAATTACAACCATAATCATAATCTTCTTAACAGAAGTGTTGATATCCGGTGACGTTAATTAGCAACGTGTAAATACGACTGATATATCCCGATGGTTTGTCCCTGTGATGTGACCGATTAGTTGGTCAACCATGCATGGTCAAACCATAGTAAGGTAGGAACTGAATCCAAATTATCACGAGACTGAACGAATACCGGGACACTACGAGCAGCGATGAATTGTGTTATGTATGAAGAGTAAGGAGAACCCCGTGATAGCCTTTTCTGTCGGCGTTTTGACCTCATAAAGAAGTTGTAAACATTGTTACTATGGCAACACTGTATTCAATCTTAAACGTCGACATCTTTGGTATGAATTAACAACTGCGTGAGAAATGGTGCGTTCAGTTTCAAAAATCTCTATGAATACACCATGGAGATAATAATATTCATGAATACACTAACTCATATGGCTGCTACGATACTCGCTCAAATACTAGTATGTCCAAATTTGGGGTTTGAGGTTTAACAATGTAAATAAAAAAATGAGTATAGCATTCGTATAACACCACACACGTTTACAAACAATTTGAAGTTGGACTATTTCAGACCCAACGAAATCACCACTATGTTTTCGTCCGTATTTCTCTAGAAACGAGTACGCGATATATGTTAATAACCGATCCCCATTACATGTAAAGGACATGTTCTTTGTCTCCCTGAAGTGTCACACATTTCCGATGATATTATCATTACATAGACGAATTTTAAAATGTCACAGACGTTGTTCAGCACGGGAATTTTGAATATACATGTAAATGTATTTTACCTCAGACTATGAACCTACATGCTTAGACCTAGAGCTAGAAAGGGATCCCATTCCAGCTCCATGCTTAGACCGATGTCGAGCATACAACGACGAATTCCGCGTTAAATGGGCACTTGACATCCCGTAAACGGTAATAGTATATCAAACCGATAAGACAAATTCAACTCACCTCGGATAAGTTCGGAGAATGGTGTGTGTGTCGGGTTCTTCTTAAAAACGATCTTGTCTTCACCAAACAACCACGTCTGCGCTCAACGAAGAAAAGTGGTTTTGTAAAAATCTGTTAGTTTGTTTAGTTATTAGACAGTTCCTGTATCACGTGGTAAAGGGAATGTGTTTATTATAAGCACCTGAAATCGGCTATCTTATAGTGTTTCTTATTGGTCAATGGTGTATTACGTAATAAGTCTTCTTGTACCGGCTCATGTGATTTGTACGATACAAGATTATCCGCACAATTCTGATTGGTGGAGGAAAGTCACGTTGCTGCTTGAAGACAAATAAAGACACCGCTTCTCCTCAAACGCGATATGCGCCACAACATGGACATTATTACGTAATAACAGAAATGAGGGGTGTACTCGTAATCACAGTCTCTCTAGAGTGATAGAGGGACTGTGTCGTAATGAAATGATACCGGTCGTGACGGAATATCGTGCGCGACGGGGAAATCTAAAATAATCACAGCCAGACATACATTTTGCGGAGATAACTACTAGATTAGTTTTGAATGATCCTCCCAAACCCTCTGGTTAAAACATACTTTTTTGCCGCGGATCTGAAAAAAACTTAAAAACAGCTCCTTATTTCCAAATTCATCCCTTTTTTACCTTCAGGTTTTAGGTGACATTTATTAGTGCATGGAGGTAACCTCCATGTTTAGTACTGGCACAGTAATGTCGATAACCAAAGTGGGGGCAATGACAATAGGAAAAATGAC